TACGAAATGATGCTATTTCTTGGGGTTTTGTCTTAGAAAGCCCCATCTCCCCCACATTTGTTTTCCCTCCATGCATTTTCCAAGGGTGAGCTCCTCAGTGTATGAAGCAAAGTGGAGTGGCTCTGGTGGAAATCTGGGTTTGAGATCCCTTAATGCAAGAGTTGGTCAACTTTTTTTTTCTGGAAAGGGAGAATGAATAAAAATTTAGGCTTTGCAGGACAGTCTCTGTTACAGCTCTCTAATTCCATTGTCACAGTGCCACAGCAGCCATAGACAATACGCCAGCCAACGTACTAGTGAATGAGTACAGCTGTATTCCAATAGTTATTTATGGACACTCAAATTTTAATTTCATAGACTATACACATGTCACAAACCATTATTACTCTTTTGATTTTTTTACGCACTTAGAATTGTAAAAAGCATTCTTAATTTTCAGGCTATACAGAGCCAGGTGGTGGGTTGGATTTGGCCCCTGATTGGGTATATTTGGAATCTCTGGATGTGGAACTCAGTCATCAGTACTTTTTAGAGTCCTTCAGATGATTCCAGCATGTAGTCAAGATAGTGAGTTCCTGCATTAATGGGCTATGAAATCAGTCACACAGTTGTCACTGGTGTTAAAAAATCAAATTGTATACAATAGAAGAGACTACATCAAAGTGCATCACACACAGTAAGGACAGTTATTATTTTGTGGAATTTTGTCTCATACATATGTCTGTTTGTGTGTTTGTGTCTGTGTGCAATGAATTGCAATGTACACTCACTATGCCTTAACCATCCTTGAATGTCCTGCTGCTTGACAGCCATGGCTGTACCCTACCTGAGTACCTGGCCTCGAGAGGGGTGTGGGAATCAGTAGCCCCCCCCCATGACACAACTGAAATTCATTCAAGGCACCCACGAGCTGTTGGCCAGTTAGCTTCATACTCCAATAGCCTTTTCCAGCTTATACAGGGTCTATAAAAGCAGTTCGAATTTCTATGTGTGCAATGCCATTAAAATGGTTTGGGAGTTCTAAGAACAAATGCTTTCAAAAGCATAAAGTTAGCTAATGGGATAATTACAAGTATGATATATACCTTCCAAACATATAAGAGGATATGGGCAAATAAACTATAGCATGTACATTAAAAGATCAGAAATAAGAAATTTAATAAAGTATGGAATGAAAATAACAGAAAATAAACTAAATGTCAGTTGTGAATCCATAAATGCCTATGAATTAAATTTCTGTATTAAAGGATAAGGACATTTAGATTGAATCAAAACAGGAAAAAAAATCCAACAAAAATGCACTAGATCACAAGGAGTACAAATAAAACAAAAGAATGTGACATGTTAAAAAAAGAGTGCAAAGGTATACTTGAAAAATAAAAATAAATAAAACCAGAAATCACAATTTTAATATAAGACAAAGTAGAATTAAAGGCAAAGACAATAAAAAGACAGACAATTAATTCAATTTATATTGTTAAAGGATACATGACATAATAATTCTTAAATTTAACTATGGACTGACCAAGCCATTATATCTCAATAATAGAGCAAAATGAAATATAAAGCAAAAGAAGAAATTGACAGAATTACAATAGCAGTGAGAAGTTTTAAATGGTTTTCTCCAATTGTGATAAATCAAGGAAGCAAAAAAAAAATAATTAGAATCTGAAAAGTATCTGCTTTGCAATCACAAGTGATTGATGTATAGTTCTTTTGGTAATAAATTAGTGAGGATAAACTTTATCATGTGTTCCAGCATTTCTGTACACTCATTTTGAAGTGATGTTGCTGAATTGCTTGACAAGATGTTTTGAGATCTGTACCTGATGGAACAGGGAGGACACTGAGAGGCAAATTTGTGCAGTGTTTTTCCTGGCAAGACCCAATGTCGCTGCCACAATCCGTCTTCTCGCCTGCCTTCTATAGAGGCACTGCGTTCATGTTTTGTGCTTTGGGTTTCTTTTCTTTCATTTTGATTTTTAAACACAACCGTGACTGAGAAATGAGTGGCTATATCAAAGGGAGAGCCCTAGATGAAAAGGTTATTTAGCCCAGAGAAAAAACAGCAAAAAAGTTAACATAATAGTCATAAATTTAGTGTTCATTAGCGGCACCAAAAGAAGACAGACCACCAGCCTTCACTACAGACTGCACTTTAGTGAAAGCACAAGCAGAACGCTGAGTGACAATGTTGGCAGAGAGAGGATGCGCCAAGCTGCGAACATCAACGTGTAGGACAAATAAGGCATTACAACGTGTTGATGAAATGCACGGACTCCAGAGCCAGACGGCCTGGCTTCAAAATAATTTCATAACTGCGAGCTGAGACCTTGGGCAGTTTACTTAATCCCTCTGTACCTTTGTTTCATAATTCATAAAATGGGAATAATAATTGTCTATCTTACAGAGTTATTGACTGCGTTAAATGAATTATATATATATTTATTTATTTATATAAATGTTTACACGAAGAGAAAAATTGACCTTAAAATTTATATGGAATTGCTAGGGACCCCGAATAGCCAAAATAACCTTAAAAAAGTGCAAAGATGGATGATCTACACCTTACAATTCCAAAACTTACTACAAAGCAATGGTAATCAAAACAGTGTGGTATTGCTCTAAGAATCAAGGAATAGAATTGAGAGTCTAGAAATGAACCTGTATCTGTGGTAACTGATTTTCGGCACGGGTGCCAAGACCCTTAAATGATGAAAGAACTCTCTGATCTAAAATATCAAGGGAGACAAGGCTCTAGACAAGATGAGGTCAGAACTCTTCTCCTGCACTTTTGCACTGAGAGTTGGTATGGTGCTTGGTGACTGACAGAAGAATGTTTTATGGTTTGGGGCTTGCAATGTTTTTGAAGTCATTTACTTTTCTGAGACAGATATAGGACGAACACTGCCTGACTCCCATGATGTCATAGGAGTCTCTCAGTGAATAAAGCATCCTAGATGGTGCCGCTTTTCTGATACCCTTAGCTACTGGAGTGTGGCAGCCAGGGACTTGAGGGTTAGTTACTGTATCATAACAGAAATAAGTATTCTAAAAGATGGAAAATGGGCCTTTTTCAAAGAAGACATACTGATGGCCAATAAGCACATGAAAAGATGCTGAACGTTGCTAATCATGAAAGACATGCAAATCAAAACCACAATGAGATATTACCTCACATCTATAAGAATGTGGAAAACAGTATGGAGAGTCCTCAAAAAAGTAAAAACAGACTTACTGTATGATAAGCCAGCAATCCCACTCCTG